CTGATGGTTTTTTGCAACTGAGCGAGTCCATACACGCACACCAGGATTCATCATCTTGTTGAAACCCGATGGCGTTCAATTGAAATAGATAATCAATATCTACAGCAAAGAGAAATGGAATCAGGCAAGTTTCTAACCCGTTGAATGGTGGGTTACCAAGGGTGTGGGTAGGTGAGGGTGTGATCGAATAAAACACCCAGACCCGTTATCTTCTAAAGACGAATATGTTACGAAAGAGCAATATCTAAAACTCTTCAAAAGTAACATTAGTTAACTTACAAGAGTTTTAAGATTCTATTGCAATAAACAAGCAAAAGAAATAATAATACAATACTTATGCACTTATCTTATAATCATCCAAAAGAATTCGCTACACATCACTAGGATGCACTAGAATTCATCGAATTCGCAGTAATCATCACTTCCTTTCTTTAGTCATATGCTATGGAACTAATCAGCACAATCGTTTGTGTTGACATCAAATGTTACAAAGAAAAAGCTTACAGATGATGAAGAAAAACATGTTTGTAGCGTACATGGAAAACGTGTGTAATCAAAGTTTACCTCCACGTAGACACTTAAGGTGTGACATGAGAAAGAGGAAGAAGCAGATGCCGATAGTTGCCATTGTGCATAATTTGCATAAACTTCATTGGCTCTTTCGGATGTTTGCCTCTCTATGAATCAATGTTGGAAAATTGCTGCATTACCATGAGCGTCAGTTTCTTTTCTTCTTACATAACACCGCTTTCACATTTCGAGTAACTCTAGCACTTATACCGATCACAGAAATCATATTTCTGAAGTGTTTTCTTCATGTCACGTCAAATGTCTGACGATCCCTATGGACCATCTCGTCATCATGTAACTCTTCAATCGCATCAATCATCGAATAGTTCATCTAGACGAAATATACCTCCAGCACCAAGAGATTTTGCTTCTCAATCTACCTTTCAATCCCATCCGCAAAGAAATATTGCGTTTCCTCCTTCTCATTCTTCTCATCACTATCATGGAGAATATTCAAATTCCGATGGATATCCAAATTCAATAAGATTATCATCCAATCGTATGAACGTAGGTCAGAGACTTATATTGAAGAAACTGATTTTTCATATTTGAATGATTAGAATGTATATGACAATCAACCGGATCGACCATATCGATTAGAACCTCCTCCTATGCATTCGCCTGTACGTCATTCTCAATCATATCATGCTGACCATCAAAATCTTTCGCATTCATCTAATCGTCATTATTTTAATAGTCAACACCCATCACCAGACTATTCTTTGGCTTCTCAAGTATATCGTCATGATCAAAATTATCCAACATATGAAAGAAATTCTGATCAATATGATCGAAGATATCATCGAGAAGAAACTCATCCCTCCCAATCCTATCCACTACATTCGTAAGTTAAACTTGTTTTTTGTCGATTCTATCACTTTTGATATTTTCTAGAAGCCATCGATCGGTCGATATTCCATTAGAACGCCAACATTCAAATCCTGTTCGATCTTTCGATCATCCTTCCTCTTCCTTGCATAATCTGCCAATTGGTCGATCGTCTGATCCAACTTCTATTCTAAATCATGTTCTACAGTGCGTATTTCAATGCATGTTTCTTTTGAAGAAACATACTTTTCTTTCAGAACTTTTTTTGGCGAGCATAGTTCACCCTTCCGCAATGATGATGTTAATCGTTCAACTTTAGATCCAATGAGTCTATTTGCTGCTGCATTGATGATGGGAAGGCCTGATGTTTTTACTGCTCCTGGTGCTCTTCATATTCACTTTGGGGTAAGTTCTTTATTTGAATCTATCTCATTGATTAGATTCTTTTAAGGACCTATTCGATTTACTTCCTCGTGGTGAGCCACCTTCCGTTGGTCTCTGCGACAATGATATCGAACGTTTACCTACGATGACCTATCGAAAAACAAGTAAATCGAGCTCCACTGACGAGAAATGTGCAATTTGTTTAAGTGAATATAAGACGGGTGAAATTGTCAAACGTTTACGATGCAAACATTTCTTTCATCCCGAATGTATTGATCCATGGCTAAAGGTATACGATGAAGAAATTGTTCTTCTTGTAATTGAGTTTGATATGTCTTCTTCTAGACATCAACGCAATGTCCAATCTGTCGTCGTCAACAAACAGATTAATTGGAAGTTTTCATTAATTGGATTTGTCATGGATTTATGATGAACTACTTTTTATTTTCATATCTTTTTTGTAATTAGGTGTTGACTAACTATCTTTTAACCTGAAGTAGTAGGACATTTTTCTGTTAAAACAATTACTCATAACCAAGAATCAAATGTTCACCGAGAAGCAGTGTTTTATCAAGAGATCGTTTTTCGGATGCGCGGTTAAAATTTTTGTAAGAGCTGCTGATGCCAGCTAAAAAATGTGTTGCCGTATAGCAAAGCCACACAGAAACTCTCATTTATTTATTTTTCACAACACTATTGCGTGGTTCCACCGAAACTCTCCCACCGTTACGGTGACCTAAAGCAGGGTAAGCGTGGGGGTGCCTGTGTTTGGGTGTGAGTCTTCTCTTCATGCACACCCACACTAACACCCACACCCCACACCCATTTCCGTGGCGAAAATATGCTTATTTTTCAAGTGAATCTTTCTCAGCTAATAGAAAGTTTAGTTAAACTCACTAATTTTACTTTAGTTCGTACAATACGTTAATCGTTCAACAATAAAGAACTATCAAAGTCTCATGCAATCGAATCTTAGCTTATGTTTATTCAGCCGATATATTGATATGGGAAGTTTGTTGTGAATCTCATGAAAATGATAAATATTAAGTCATGAGATATTATGAAGACCAATGAATGGTATTATCTCATATGAATTATCATTGTAGAGTTTTACTTGAATGAATCCGAGATTAATTTTGAAAAATTAAACTACCAATTCGTATATCACAAATCGTAAAACAATTCATTTGAAAAAAAATAATTATTATACGTCTGTTAACTGTAATCTTCAATAAAAGAATTTTATTTTATCAAACAAATATATACTTTTATAATATTTTTCTTTTTCTTTTCGATGAGAATATGTTCACTGTATATTGTTGGAATTCTATTGTAATTTAATAACATTAAATTGAAAAGTGAATGTGTATTGTACTTAAACCAGATATTTTCAACACAGAATTTATCAAATTGAAGATTCAGCCTTTATCAAATATTTCATTAATCCTAAAGAATCAGTTTCTGTTGATAAGTTGACTATGATTTTTCTTTTTTTTATTTAATTTATATAGGATGTGTTTCATTTCATCGAGTTGTACTCGAATTTTACCACCATTGATCGGTAAGCGATAGAGAGAATCCACTAGACGAAATACGTCTTTTAGTTATATAACATCGGTAGAATCTGATGAGTCAGCTGATATCATTATTTCTCCAACTACCCTTCTTTACTAAAGTGTATACATGTGTATAATCGATCAAGAACTTTTCAAACCAACAATAATACGATCATTTTGAGTTCTAGCATTATTTTTTAGTTGTTATTTTCAAATAACACGTTCAATATATTCCAAAAATAGAATCATTTATTGAATCTTCAATAAGATATTCAATAGTTTTTATTAGAGATTGAGCGTTATGATTTCTATTTAAGTCAATATTAATCATTTTGAAAAAAATACAGCATTTTTTTATGAGTATTCTTTTTCATGATTTATGGATACCATTTCATTAGCAAATAAACTCTGCTGCAAATAGCCAAATTATCATACAAGCAAACAAAAAAACCTGATTATGTGGAGATTCTCCTATACATTAGTAGAATCCATTTTGGAAAATTGATTCTTTAAAAATTATTTCTGTAGCTTATTGAGTTTTACGATATATAAATTCATAACGATATCTACGTGCAGTGTGGACAATAGTTTGCTTCCGTCGTCATGATGACCCGTCAATTCTAAGTAAAAGAAATTTAGTGGAATAGCTAATAGGAAAAAATAATGAATTGAAAATGTGTCTCTTTATTGAAAACGTATCGTGGAGGGTGTGGGTGTGGGTGTGGATTAGGGTGGGGTGGGCGTGGATGTGGGTTGGGGTGCGGTGGGTGTGGGTATGGGTGTGGATTGGGGTGGGGTGGGGTGGATGTGGGTTCCCAGGTCCAGATCGGTACGTCGGAACCGATCGGTTCCGTTGAATTCCGACGATTTCTTTACTACAGGATTCCGGTCCAGATTTCGTTGGACCAGTTCCGATCAGTTTCCATCGATCCCGTCGACTCCCGACGAATTCCTGGTCGAAATTTTGCAGAACTTAACGAAATTTTTCCGGCGGAAACTGGACCGGAATCCTGTAGTCAAGAGATCGTCGGAAGTCAACGGAGCCGACCGAAAACCAACGGAATCTATAGGATCCGCTGCCGGAAAACAAAGGAAACAAACGGTTCCGGCGATCGGAACAGTGGACCTGGGAATTGTGGTAGGGTGGGTGTGGGTGTGAATGTGGGTTGGGGTGCGGTGGGTGTAGGTGTAGGTGTACTTCTCTCATTTACACTCACATCCACATCCCACCCACCCACACCCACACCCACACCTCATCCACATCCACCCACACCCTTTACAATCAAATCGAAACATATGCTACATACTTGCACATACAATCAGATTCGATGCAACCTATGAGTATGCGAAAAATCTTACAAATATCTGATACCACGACTAGAAGTAAGCAGGACGCTGTAATTGAAACCGATAGCAATTACCATACCGAATACTGTGATTACTAGTAAGCATGCGCCGATATTTGAAATCGATAACCATACTCATAGTCAACGCCGTAATTCACTTTTAATCTTTTCTCTGAAGGTAAATATAATGGTAAATCATAAGATACTCGTTTGTAACGTTTCATTAATTTTTGAAACACGGTGCAATACTAGCTCACTTATTTGAATCATAAACGATTGTTAATTGAAGTTCGTATTAGACAGAAACAGGTATATCGTCAAAAACAATATTACTGATGTTAGCACGTTCTGCTTGCTCTCTGTTGAAAGTGACACGTAGAGGTGATGACAATGACTATTTTATTGCATGCTGATACGACGCAAATGAGGAGCATAGGATTCTTTACTTTTGATTTTTCATGCAATATTGACTATCTTATTTCTTTTTCTGCTTCGTTTTTGTTCAATTTCATGTCACCATCATCTTATAATTTTGCCATCTCGTTTAAAGATCGTGCCATGGCGTTCGACACGTTTCTAACGACAATTAATGATTGGGGTCGTTTTCAAAAAACAAAGTTTTTCATTCTCTGTCTCATAAGTATGATACCACCATTTATGTTTTTTACCTGGACATTTATTGCAGCAACACCAGATTTTCGATGTCATCTTCCGTACGGGACGGATGATTATAATGCCGAAATGAACAAACTATTCACTCAAACATACCAACCAACTGAAGAAGATTGTGCGACATATCAAAATGGAATCTCATTAAAAGAATGTCAGCAATGCTATACACGAGTTTCCCTACGCAATACTACATCTATTAGCAATCTTCAAACATGCAACAATTATGTATTCGATCAGTCGATTTACAAGAAAACATTGGTTGAAGAAGTGAGTCATGTAATATTCTTCCATGTTAAATAATTTTCTTTTGAATTATTGAACACCAAAGAAAAAAGAATCTCAGAGAAAAACTTCTGTTTCGAATAGATCTCAAATATTTTATGAAGATATCGGATTTCTTAGTCGTCTAGAAAAATCCTATGTAAACACGTTTTCTAGAAAACCTTCATATTACATCTTTTGTAACAAAATGCACCATGAAGTTTATCGAAGAGTTCTCTTTTATATAATTGATTACTTTCTCTTGAAGTGGAATATGGTTTGTGGTCGTATTCTCTATCGTACAGTAGTGCAAGTAGCCTTTTTTCTTGGTATAATGATGGGCGCAATAATATTCGGTAGCATGGCTGATAGGTATGAGAAGTAGAATATTTGTCTTATTTTCATCTTAAATATTATCCGTGTTAAGATATGGTCGTAGACCGATCATGAGTGTCTGCTTCATCATATTAACTGCCGTATGCTTTCTCTCTGCATTTGGTCCACAATCGAAATTCGGCATTCGACAATCACATGCAATTTTTGTTATAAGTCGTTTTTTACTTGCTTTTTCTATAAGGGGCATCATTGAATCCGGATTTGTACTTTGTACAGAATTGGGTGAGGAGTATTCGCTTGAATGATGATTTTTATTGACTTTTGTTTGTCAAAGTTATCCCGACAAAGCGTGTTATGGCAAATTCAGTAATGAACTATGCATATGTGCTTGGAATGTTTTGTTTAGTGACTTTCGCCTATTTTGTTCGTACGTGGAGAATGCTGTTATTGGTCTCGGCTCTATTCACTGTGCCTTTTTGCTTCTTCTATTGGTATAATATTTTTAATAAGCTATATTTTTCTTGAAACAAACAAAACACATACAGAACCTTAATTGTACTCTATTGCATTAGGATTTTACCCGAAAGTCCTCGATGGCTTGTCAGCAAAGGTCAGTACAACGAAGCTGAGAAGATTCTCAAGAAAGCTGCATTGATTAACAAAACAAAGTTTGATCAAGAAGCATACGATACGTTGACGCGAATTTACAGAACGGTGAGCAACTAGGCAAGGCATTGTGTTTCAATAGCATGAAATCATTAATGATTGTAGAACAATGAAACAAAAGAAATTCAAACAGGTATTTCAAGTCTGTTTCAGTCTACAATTATGAGTTTCATTACTGTCAATCTCTTTTTGTAGTGGTTAGTTTTAATTTGACATATTATTATTCGAGTTTTGCTTGCGTTTCTCGATAGGTTTACTCAAAATCTCGTCTATTTTGGTGTTTCACAAAATACAGGTAACTCTTCTGGCTTAAATACCAGCAAAGACGGTTGTTTATATGGCATTTATTCAAGGAACATGGCAATTCGATCCGTATGTGTCGTATTGTGCTGGTGCATTGGTAGAATTGCTGGCATATATGCTATTTCATGGTATACTCGATCGAGTCGGACGAAAGCTGCCTTATTGTTTATTTTCCCTGGTATTTGGTATCATAGCCATGCTAATTATACCATTACAAACCTTCGCAAAGCCAGAGCAATCGAGTATGTAC